AATTATGTTTGCCCACTGGCCATTCCAGGGTTTTCCCAAACCAACACTTGTTTATCAAAGTGTGGGTTTCAACCTGCTGGCGTTCACTGTTCCACTCAAAACCGCCATGTCAAGAGCTGGATGCTGCCGGCCAATGGATGCCAGCCGTGCCAGTCGGCCACAAGTGGCCTTAACCTTTGTGGGCGTGAATTGATCGCACGATGGCCAGGCAGAGCTGCTCGACAGGAAGGGCGTGTGGCACCAGTGGGGCACAATCCTTTGTGATAAAACCACTGTGATGAAGTAGCGCCCAATCTAAAACCACTGTGTCACAGTGCCACATAAAACCATATGTAAAAGTTGACCTAATTGAAGTAGCACGTCCCATGTGTTGGTGTCCGAACTCCTGCCTGGTACTGAAGGTCCGCCGGATCTTTGGAGGACAAACCGGTCCCGTCGCATCGATAACATTCTTGGCAGACACTCGGCTGCACTTGGCCTGACACACTGAGCAACTGTAGAAACTGGCTGCTCTGTGGCCAATGCAGTCATACTGTTTGTATTTGTTTGTGTTTGTTGAAGTGGGCCTAAATGCTGGAAAGTGGGCCCTATTTGCACGATCTCAAGTTGTGTATTCCTTCATTTGTCGGCTTACCTCCAGAGAAAGGTTTACGGTGCGTGAATATGTGTGTGTGTGCCCCTTGTAGTCACAGGGATTCTTTTGAATTGTAAAATTGAGCAGGGGGACTGGAGCCGATTTGCCTATCCAGTCCAACGAAGCTATGGAATTTCGGTGGATGAGTGGTCTGATCAACCACTTGTACCTGCGCAATTTTTAACCTTTGGTAAAGGGCTAATGCATTTGGCAGACAAGAACGTACGTCGTCATGTCGACCTGCTTTCGGACTTGAGACTTTGGCCTCATCTCCTTTTGAAGACCCCAGGCCCCCCAGGTTCTCTTGGACCTTTCAGGATTTGGATTTCTTAGGCTGGCGTGTGGCGCCGCTGTCAAGTCAGTACGCATATCCATAAGTGTGTCTCTCCTAGTGAGAGTCCGGGATGAGCCCATAGAGTGCCTCCCGTGGACCCGTCAAACGGAAGTTTGTCTCTGTTACCAATACCGCGGAAACGCACGTGCCCAGAGCGGGCGTAGGAGGCTTACGCCAGAGTTATTTGCCAAGATTTGTCGGAGTATTGAATTCCAAGTTGGCTTATGCCTTTACGTGACCGCAGCGGTCAGAGGTGGCCGCCCTCGGGCACGCCGTACGTGGTCGCAGCGACCGAAGTTTGTTCAAGGTTCATTGGAACCTGTCCCACTCTCAGGTGCACACACAGCGCATACATTCAAACGAGGCGAGGTCCCTAGGCGCTTCTAATGAGGTTTGGCTTCATCGGTTCTCGTCCCCTCCATTTGGTTCCCCTTTCATCCTTCCCCCTTCACGTACTTCTGTTTCCTCTTTTCTTTCATGTCCTCCTGTCTTCATGTCTGGTCATCTCATCCTTTGATGTTTGCGCGCACATTGGTCCCGGCCTTGGTGTGCACGTGCACTTCTACTTACATTTCAACACAGGTTTCAGGTCGCCCAGGTCTTTACAATGAGGTGAGCTTCATCGGGTGTCCCTGTGCACTTGGTTCCCCTTTCATCACAACCACACGCACCTTTGTCCCGTCTCGTCCTCCTGTCATGTCTTCGTTCTTTTGTCTCTTGCGCGCGCACACGTGCACATTTGCCTTCACCTTAGCTCTACGCCTCCCCTCGGGGAGGCGTGTGTGTGTGTGCCCCTTGTAGTCACAGGGATTCTTTTGAATTGTAAAATGATTTGTATTGAGCAGGGGGACTGGAGCCGATTCAACGAAGATATGGCATTTCGGTGGATGACTGGTCTGATCGACCACTTGTACCTGCACAATTTTTAACCTTTGGTAAAGGGCTAATGCATTTGGCAGACAATAACGTACGTCGTCATGTCGACCTGCTTTCGGACTTGAGACTTTGGCCTCATCTCCTTTTGAAGACCCCAGGCCCCCCTGGTTCTCTTGGACCTTTCAGGATTTGGGTCTCTTAGGCTGGCGTGTGCCACCGCTGTCAAGCCAGTATGCGTATCCATAAGTGTGTGTGCACGTGTACGTACGTGTGTGTGTGTGTCAACCCCTGTTCCAAAGGGTGCTACTTGATAAACAGGGGGACGGGACACCTCTGGCATTTCCCGTCCAACGAAGAGGATGCCAGCAGGTGCTGATGCAGTGGGGGACGCCCCACTGTGTACCTGTTCCATGAACTGTTGCTTACGCTGTCCAATCTTTCCTTTTTGGTTCCATGGTGGTTCATGCTACTTCCCCTAAACCCTTTCCGTTGCCGCTCGCGCGCGCTGCCGTCGCACCACTGCAGATGAGAAACTTCAATGTTCAAACACCTTCAAGTCTTTGGACCTTTCACCATGCCGTTCCATCGCCTTCCTTCTCGTCGTGGGAATTGAGTAAACAGCAAACCAATGTCAGAGTGTGAGCCGCTCAGCCGTCCCACTTGGGTGCTGGGTGTGATCCTCCGCAAGGAGGCGCAGTTTTCATACCGGAAATAATTCAACGGATGTCTTACTGCGCTTGGACTTCCACCGTTTCAAAACTGAATTAACTGATCCAACAGCCGTCGGGCTTAAAAACGAATTTGACAGCCGCCGGGCTTAAAAAACGGAATTCACCCCACTTGAGGCAGATCTCCCAACCCCCCCCCTGAGTTCTACTCCCCACCTAATTAGGGCAACGCAGGGAAATGGTACTCGACACACTTGTGTGTGTCGGTGCCTTTCCCTTTGTTGTTCCTGTTCTAGTCTTCTCTACCCGGGCGGTCTAAGACTAAAGTTCCGCTCCCTAACTATTGCATTTAATTCGCCGCTAAGTAGTCAGTAACTCTAGAGTGCTAAGTAGTCATACACACACACACACACGGACACACGCATGCTACACACACACCCTCCCTGCCCCCCCCTTTCTTTCTTACGCTTTCGGTCGTTTCTTAGGCTTTCTCTCAGGCTTGTTAGGTTGTTCTTGAGGCTCGTTTCCCTGCCCCAGTCAAGGGCTAAGTATTCACTTTTTTCTACACCTATCTTTCTCTCTTGCCCTCTTAGCGCTGCTCTTTCTGTGTTTCTTTCTTTTGTTCCTAAGGCTTTTTAGGTGCCTATTCAGGTCGTTCGCACGAGCGCCGCAAAGCGGCGCCGTGTGTGTGTGTGTGTGTCAACCCCTGTTCCAAAGGGTGCTACTTGATAAACAGGGGGGCGGGACACCTCTGGCATTTCCCGTCCAACGAAGAGGATGCCAGCAGGTGCTGATGCAGTGGGGGACGCCCCACTGTGTACCTGTTCCATGAACTGTTGCTTACGCTGTCCAATCTTTCCTTTTGGTTCCATGGTGGTTCATGCTACTTCTCCTAAACACTTTCCTTTGCCGCTCGCGCTTGCTGCCGTCGCACCACTGCAGATGAGAAACTTCAATGTTAAAACACCTTCAAGTCTTTGGACCTTTCACCATGCCGTTCCATCGCCTTCCTTCTCGTCGTGGGAATTGAGTAAGCAGCAAACCAATGTCAGAGTGTGTGTGCGCCTTGTTTTATCACATTTGTTCATTCGTTTGTGGAATACGTGAGCGTCGTTCATGTTCAACAAGGACAAACACGTGACACTCTTCAACCTCTCAAATAATTGAAGTTTTTGCCGTATTTATTGGATTGTCAGGGGCTGAGAACATCAGACAGGCAAATCACCAGCACAGCAAAAAAGACAGCAAATTCGGGTCCTTTAACTTCTGATCGTGCCAGGTTTGCATTACGCGAAGAGCCGCCCCACGCCATGCGCGAAGTCAGCCGCAGCATTTGGACTGGCACGAAATGGCAACCCGCCCCTGAGCATCAAGATGCAAGGATATGTTTTGTTGGCAACCTGCTTTTTTGCATGCATGTGCCCATATGTGAACTAGATTAATGGTTGCCGAAAGAGCCCACCTGTTTGGGAACTCTCTCGTGTGAGGAGAACCCGATCAAAAGTCTAATCAGGCGCCATGTTTCAGTCAAATCACCGCAAGTGTGAACGCCACATCTGTAAAACAGCGCAAGCATGTGCTGACGCATCAACATACAGCCAGCAAGGTGCCTCGGAGATGATGGAGGCGGTCTACGATTATGTGCCTTCAGAGGATGAGACGCGGATGATGCAAGAAGAGCTCCAAAAGATCGGGACACTCGAGGCGGGAGCCTGTAGGAGCTTGTGGGAGCCTACGGGAGCCTGCGGGAGCCCGCCTGCGGGAGCCCGCCTGCGGGAGCTGATGGGGCCGTCAGATGTGTCAGTTAGAAATCAACGTTTTGGAGGGTCGCACTGTCTACTGGGACCTGATGTTTGTTGCAGACTGCAATCCCTCGCACTCCTCCCGCCACATTTTTCTTCGAGGACCACCAGGCATCAGCCCTGCGAGCTGCAGTGGATGCGCAGCATGCCAAGCGCAGCTGGTATGAGCAACTCTTCCAGGCCCATTGAATTCGGCAAGCGGAGATTGATCAGACCTCATCGGCTCCAAAAAGAATGATCTCCCCAGGCCATGTGGTCACTCCATATATAACTCCATGAAATGGGCATCGTGGCCACTCATACTTCCACCATGGCAGTGCTTGGCAGATGAAGACCCAGGAGATGACCCAGGGCTTTGGTGATCAAGAGATGGATGGTACTGCTTGATGTGCGAGAGTTTGCTGAGGATCAGCATGTAGATCATGTAGGAACTCACAAGGTTACAAACAAGAACACACACACACACACAAAAGACCCCAAAAGGAACCTGGTGATCTGGTCTTGAAGACTTGGCTTTGAAGGCAGAGCCCACTTCGAGCAAGAACTTGATAGAGGAACAGCCCAAGCGTTTCCCATTACAATAGGAAGGACGCTACTAGGGGCGCTCCTGGCATTGCTACCATGCAGTAACAAGAATGCTACTAGTAACCAAGGGCATCGCTGCTAGTAGCAAGGACGCTACTAGTATGGTTTCCTATTCCCACCGGGTTGACGCCAAGTGCCTGTCTCGGCCGACGAGCGGCCAGGAGACCCGCACCGCGCGTCTGCGTGGAGAGGCCGAGCCGGAGGTCGCGCCTTGGAGACTCCGAAGGGGGGAAACTGAGGTGATCCATGGGGGATTGGATGAAATCTTAGATTGGATATGATTGGATGAAATATTGTTTTTTTTTTTCCGGCTAAATCTTATGATGAACCGTTTAATGAATTGTATGCCTTCTGCCGTGTTAGGCTCCAGCCAATGATGGCAGGTTCATCCTTCCACCTCCCAGGACTGGAGCCTCATCGCTGACCGGATCAACAAGCGCTTCAAGTACAAGCCTGGGAGGGCGGCTTTCTGTCCAGAGGAGTACCTGTGTTATGAGGACTGGTTCCTCCGGAAGTTATCAGAGAAGACTCACGGGGAATGTCTAGCCCAAGCGGCTCTGGCAGATGTGTGCACTCCGGTGCAGGGAAGGTTGTGGCCGCAGGCAGGATATGGCAGGATGCTGGTAGGGAATATGCAAATGTACCCTACTAGACTGTAGATAGTAGATACATTGAATTGAGCTCACTTGAGCCCATCAATCAGTTTGGTCGCCATGGAGGTTCCCAGTGGTGAGATGACGTTGAAGGTCTCTGTGATTGCAATGGAGGAGCTCCTGCGACTCCTACAAGGCGAGTGACGAAGTGGGATGTGCTATTATATGTTCTCGGGGGGGCTTTGGTTCTCCGGCGTGTCACAACTTGACAAACCCACTGGGTTTATGAGGGCACTGCAGATCAGATATATGTAATAACCTACTGAAGCTTGCGGAGAGGTCTAGGTTTGTTTAGGCAAGTGAGACCCAACGGTTCCTTGAGCTCGACGCTGAGAAGCTATGCCGGAACCGGGGCTGCCACGATCAGTGTTGAGGGCTCCAATGGGTCCATGTATTAACTTTGGAAGGTCCATGCCGTCCTGTATGACCAATCTATCATGCATTGCGGAAGAAAAAAAACAAACAAAAACATGTTGCACAGTACCTAGTACCTACTCGTCAATCTTCATGACTGAGACGATGTATCTCGTCCGGAGCGATGACGGAGAGATGCACCGCTCAAGGGGACCAGCTCCTGCAGCTCCGTTTACGTTGGCCAGTGCCTCGTCCCTGACGGCATCACTGTACCGATCTCACGTGCCCGGAATGCATGAAATTGCATGCACCTGTCCGCCTCCTACTGACCCAGTGTTGAAATGAAAAGGAAATCGAAGACATAGCTCACAGGGGGGGGGCGAATGATCACAGCGGAGTTTGGTGGCAGCTCAGGACTATCACCGAGTCCACAGCCCCGTGGATGGCACCATCGAGTCCATCAAGCGCTACGAGAAAGACCAGCTTTTTCCGACATCCGCCGCCCCCCTGCAATTTGCGTAAGGCCGCCTGATACAATATCCACCAACTGCTTTATTGTAATACCAATTGTCAAGCAATGTTGAGTGCCGCATGTGGGTGGCAAAAGAATTACTGTATAAAGAATTCATGGGGAAAGAGAGTGAGTGAGGGAGGGAAAACGCATGAAAAGAACCAATTGCCAGGGCTCTGGTGGCTCAGGAGTCTATGTCAATCTTCAAGTTTGCCACGAGCTTCGGGCCAGTCCAGCTGCTTTGTATTGGAGAGTGGTCCGTGCAAAGCTTTCAAACCCATGCAGTGGCTGGACAGGAGGTCAGGAAGATGGATGAACTAGGACATTTTGACGTGGGCTCACAGGTGATTTTGGCCCTGCCCAAGTCTCTCCACATTTTGCCCAAAGAAGGCGCCCGAATGTTTGTGGGCGATCCCATCGCTGCAGAACACGTCCAGAAAAAAGAACAAGTCGTTCGGGCCATTCTGGGCCGTGGGGCGATGCCAGCGTTTTCAGGCAGAAAGCCGAAAGGGAAAGTCCTCAGAGCAAAGAGGTCTGGAAGATAAAGGATTTGGTTGACGTGTCCGTTCTTTTGCTTCGAAACCAGTTTGCATCATTTCGCCATATTTTGCCGACGGCTGTGTTTCTTCCGCCAGGGAAGACAGCAGAAAGAGTGTCAAGCCAGAGATGGCCGAGTCAGTCCCTGAAAGATCGTTCCACGTTCCACACCCCAAACATATAGTGATCGCTGGTCGCACATGGCAGCATGATGAATCCATGAACATCATGAGCCCGTTTGGTCGGGCGATTTGCACATCACGTTCACGTCAGACCGATGTCGAACATCGATCGTCCCATCCTAAGGACTCCCAGCAAGGCGCGCAAGGCGGGATGGGCATGTCGTTGCTCTTGTTTTTGACGCGTTGCATGTTGCCCCATCTTGTAACCGAATCTTTGGCTCTTGCGGATGTTCTCAGGTTCACCAATTTGCTTGTGACTTTGGGGGGCCAGAATGCAAGGCAGACATTAGGAAAAGCATAGCAGAAACATGAAAAAAGGACAAAAAAAGGTCTCCAGTTTTCTTCCTTGGCTGAAGTTGCTTGATGAGGGTCATTTGGCAGGGGAAGGCGGTGAAATCCGGAAAGAATGGCAAGAAGTTCCTTGGCACAAGAATGATTGCTATGATTGCACCTGCAAACACCGTCCAAACTTCATGGCATCACATGCAATTTGCAGCTGTTTCGGAGGCAGACAGAGAGTGAGGGAGAGATTGTTTGTTGAGCTCACCTGCATTTACAATTGAGATCAAATTAGATGATAAATGGGGAACATATATTATAACATATTTATTGACATGCTGCAGGCTTCAGAAAGAAGGCACCAAGAAGCTCACAGGCCGGTTATTAGTGCACATGCAAGGCCACCTGTTGTCTCGTGACCAAGTGGCAGTGCCAATGGCGGCACCATGTGAATGCTGCAACATGAAGTACAGTAGATGCTTTACAAGAGAGAGAGAGAGAGGACGCTGTGTATATTTGCACCCGCCGGCGCAGGCCCACCTTGGCTCAAGCATTCCGGGGTCGAAAAGGATGATCCATTGGATTGCACTTCAGGTGTGGCTTTGGCACACTCCTTTCGCCTCCGAGGCTGGGGAATTTCGGGGCCTTCAGTTTAGCTCGTGAATCCTCAGTTTAGCACTGGACCAGCGAAACATCCGGTCTACAAGTTGGCCCCTGCGACGGGAGAGGTGAGACGCCCGGACACCGAGTTCCCAAGTTACACCCAGCCACCCCAGTCCGCGCGAGCAAGTACCCTGCAGGTGACTTTTGTACACCCGGACGAATGCAAGGCCTCCCCATGTTGCTTTAAGTACGTGCAAAAGGAGGTGGACTGGCTGGTGATGGGAGGGGGCGCGTCCCTTTGGCGCGTTCCAAAACCGACGCGCTGCGACGGTGCACCGTTTGAACGTCGCTCGCTCGCTCGCAAACGCGCTCGAGGGTCGTTGGAGCCTTCGGTCAGCACGCAGGAGCAGCACGCAGCACCGGTGGACCCCTCAGGGGGTGGAAGTGCCTGGTACTTCGCCTATGCGGGGACGGAGAAGGCCATCACCGACGTGGTGCCCAGCGAGTGGCGACATCAGAGCGTGGAAGCCATGCTGCAGAATTGGTGCGTGGCCTGGCAGATGGGTCCCAGTGGCGAAGCCACCAGCAGCTTGGAGGTCATGAAGGACAAGACCTGCGCAAAGGGAACTGCCTATCGGCTGAGTGAGGAAGGTGCCAGGCCAGTTCTGAGACCTTTGTTATTTTTTGTGGAAGTGAGGGGGAGGGGAGGATGCCAGATGTTTGAAGGTGTCAGGAGCCTTATATTAATTGAGATCGAATGAGATCGAGATAGATCGAGTAAGTAACGGATCTTCAGGTGACTCCTTGCAAGCATTGTCTCATATATTATGTGTGCGTGTGTGTATTTCCTAAGCTTGTTTCCGCGTTTTTTGACTCATGAATTCAAGTGATGCGGTGTGTTCAGCGACCGTGCCTTCACGTGTTTCATTCTTTTGCTGTGTCCGTGTCGGCCTCCTTTGCGAAGCTGCGTCGGAGATTCTTCGTTTCGGGATTTGCTGTGTGAAGCTTGCTAACGGCTTTCACACTCACTATAGGTATCTATAGGTCTCATTCACACGTTCTTCAAGAGGTTTTACCAGTAGTGACTAGTGGTGGATGAGCTGTTCAGTGTGCTCTCCAAAGTGACTGACGAAATGTTCCAAAGCACGTAAGAAACATGTTTTCGCGTTTGTACTAGCCTTTTCACTCCTACTCAACTGGCTGGTCAGGCGATATACCGAATTTTGGTTGGGTTCAGAATCATCTGAATCTTTGGCTTCTCCTTTGGGCGTCACTGTGACAATGAAGTCTGGGCAGAAATTGAATAGCACTTTGTTGGTGCCGTCCCTGCCTGTGCGCGACGACGGCTACTTCTCTCAGATGTGGTTTGACGCTTGCGAGGATGCCAACACTGCAACTGCGGCAGGAGCCATCGAATCATGATGCTCCTGTAGCAGATGCACTCGTAGTAGCACTTACATTAGGTTCAGAGCAAATGGCGCAAACCTATAGACTTGTTTGTGCCATCTACTCTGACACTAAAGTCCTTCTCGGCATCATCAACCTTGTAGAGAATCCCGATGCCATGCAATGCCGCCTGGGGAAATGACCTGGGCCAAAGTGGTTGTGCTAAGGGCGTCGAATTCAAAGTTGACAAGTAAAAGTAACGGAGCCAGTCGATGCACCTAAGAGGGGGTCGGGTTTAGGCAATCGTAAGTTCCATGGAGGCCATTTTGGTGGTGTTGTTTCTCGAATGCACATTGCAGTAGTCCTTGATGTGCAACAATCCATTTCCGGCTTGCGCCATCATTCACACTTCATCAAAACTGGTTACCTGATCTTACCTGAGAATAGCCTCAATGCACAGCTCACCGGGTCCCAGTTTCAGAATATGTTGAGCGCACTATCAGGGAAGGATGCCAAGACTGCCAAGACCAAGAACCTGCGCAAGGCGCCTCTTGGACCACGTTGCAAGGCTAGCTTTTTGTTGTTCGGGCGTTTGGGTGATGAATTTGTGCGCGTTTGTGTGAGGATGTGTGAAGATATGTCCTTTTAATTCCATGTGAACTACTTTCGAGGTCCTGAAGACGTTGAAACAATCGAAAAAGTTCATGAAGCAGACCGTCGCCTCCCTAGCCCTAGCTTCCTCATTGCCACGAACAAAATGTGCCCTTGGCCTCGGGAGTGTTTGGGGGTCTTCGAGCTTCGGACCTCACAGAATTTTCACATGTGCACTGAAAGCATTTGTGAGCCACCTGTTGTACCACGGAACTGCGCTTTTGCCTTGGTTTGAGTGTCAATCTTCAACACCCCCGCATGTAGTGATTGGAGCCCTCTCAATCTGCAAGCTTGGTGCATTTCCACCATGCTCAGGCCCGTGTGGTGTGTCCAGGCAGCCTGACCGAGCGCTTCATTGCTTGCTGCTTGGCTGAGGTATTCTTGGCCGCTTGCTGCGGCTGAAGGATGAACATGCTAAAGTCAGCATTGTGCGAATAATTTGGAGTGTGAGACAGTTGGTTCCAATGGCTGTTGATAACCAGTGTCTCCGCAACTTAAGAGCATCCCCCTGGCCAAAGCCTTTGGATTCGGCAACCTTTTCATTGTAGGCCACTTGTGTGTTGATTCGCTTGGGTAGCTTAGGTGGGCGCTCCACAACTCACAGCTCACTGCCGGTGGCCTTGGCCAAGAAGGCTAAGCGAAGTACAGAGTCAGAAAGGGCTTCAAGACTCTTCCAGGTACGGAGATGCACAGAGTCGGAAGACGTAACAAACATATTATATATATTTTGAGAGAGAGAGAGAGAGTATTATATATGTATATCTTACCAGTCTTACCAGATGTCGAAAGACGGGTGTTGTGACCCAGGACAGCCTTTGAGCGCGGCTTATTGGCCAGTGGACCTTTAAGCAGCAAGCTTATCGCCATCTACGTAGTTGCAGCGAGCTGGAGGGGATGCTCCTTCTAGTTCCTATACAGGGATCAACATGGAATAACTTCATTCAGATATTGAAGGCTAGGCCAACCCCGGGACCTTGCCACTTGTTTGTCTGCAACATGCCTCGGATTTATGCCGGGCTGTGAGAAAAATATGAGGCAGTCAAAAGCGCATTCCAACGCCATCAAAGTGAGGTTGGCGCTGGCTGCGGGAAGAGGCGGGTTCGTTCTTGGTTCTCTCAGAAGTGAACCTCTTGCAATTTAGATGTTGATGAAAGAAATCCCGCCAGCCTTGATAAAACTGCAGCGAGGAAGGGTATGACATGTAAAACGCATATAATATAATAGAATATTGACGATATTACATTATATTGTATTTTACAATATAACACAATATAGTACATGATATATCTAAATATATAGTTATACATGTATAGTTATATATACTATTGGCAATTGTTAGTATTACATATTGGCGCATGTCCCACATCAGTGGTTGCACGGCCCCTTTTTCCAACAGCAGACGGTTTTCCTTAGTCACGGGAACGAACGATGCAAAGCTTTTCTCCTGCTTCTGCCTCCTTCACTTCACAAATGGGAGAGAAATAGAATGTTGCACCCATGGGTTCATAGAAGAGGTACCCGTCACCATGCAGCTTCAACTCGCAGGACGAAGACCTCCAAGCACCGAGCTCGGTCGTGGTGGACGAGGAGGGCCATCGCTGGGCTCTCCGAGAGATGGAGATGACTTCGGCCGATGCCCAGAGGCGGCGTACGTGACGCATGTGACTTCATGGGAAAACCATAGGGTATGCCATATGCCGGGTACGCAAGGCAAGTTGGATAGGAAGTAGTTTGTTTACAAGGCCAGAATCTCGCTTTGTCAGAAGATAAAGATCAAGGAGTCAAGGAGGTATTAGGATAGAGCATCATGGTGACAGCCATGCAACGGTCATGCTAGTAACTATTAGTAGAGGTAGCGACTCAGATTGTACACTCTGATGTCCACCTTGGCGCGTGACCGATGCAGAGAGAGAACATGCTACGAATCGCAGGCTGCGCCGCATGGACTCGTACTTGCAGGAGGCCTTGTGGCCAGCATGCCCTGCACGTGCGTTCGCTCAGAGGTCTAGAAACCTGCCTTCCAAAACCTCTTGAAAGGCATCCTCTTTCATTCAGAGCTGAGCAAGTGCCGGATTGATGCGATGTCTTCACAGGTTAGTAAAAGTTGATGATTCTTGCATCCTATTACTGTAAATCAGTTTTAGACAGTGCCAACGCCCCCAACATCTCAAAATGGAGGTGTCCACTGTGACGAGTCGATCACCGACCTGAACGGCGACCTGCCGAGGTGTGTCTTTGGCCGAACGGCTCCTGAGCCCCAAGGCGCGACGCCGGCGCTGCGAGCGCTACCTGAAGGAGGCGACCCATCGAGCCGTGGGCCGTCGGAGTCTCCTGGAGTGAGGGTTGAGGCCTGGTGAGGATCGCTGGTGAGAATCGTGACAAGTGGCTCAGGTCGGGATGGATTGGCAAGAAAGAAGTGTGGCAAACAAAGGACTCCCCTTTCAAAATCAAATAGGCACACCATTCAAGGTTGTTTATGATGTGGTTTGTTTGTTAGAATAGTTCTTTCTTTTGGGCCTGGGTCAGAAAGATGGAGCTACCATGCAGTGGTCGTGGCTGTGAACAACGGCCCCCAAAAAGGGGGTTGAATGAATCCTTCTTACTCATCGTGTGACGATCTCCATGCGCCAGCGACGGTGTTTGATCAAGGTGATCGCCCCACTTCTCGATGAGACCTGTCCAGTGCATGCATGGGCTGCTGGTCCCTGAGATATTTACACAATGCTGTCACAAGAAGCATGAGCAAGAGATAGACAAAGAGAAAGAGAGAGAGAGAGAGGGGCAAGGTTTGCATCCACATAAAGGAAGTCAATGCTTTGTCAGAACTGCAATGCAAGAGTGGCTCCTTCAGCAAAGGCTCAGAACAAAGACTTTTGGCCTCACTTTGTTTTGGGATGTTTTTGGGTGAACCTCACGCTTCATCAATCTAGTGAGCTTCTAAGTGCTAAAGTTGCTGACGTTTGTGGAATGTTTTTTTGGCCTCACCACTCCACCATAGTAGGCGGTGACGCCACCGACGAATCGCCAGATCAGTTCGGCCGAAAGCCAGAGCCATGGCAGATCAGATGCCTGGAGCCGAGGAGTCGGTTCTTCTGCATCCAAAGGTGATCTGCACCGGCTCCGAAGCGCTCTGTGCTTTGAGCAACTATTTGATCACCACTTCGTTGGGAGGCCAAACCCTTTTTGCAAAAGGTGCTTTCACGTGGCACCAGGTTTGTTTTGGTTGCAGCAACCCATTCCTTGGATTTCCTTGTTGTGTGTGAGAGAGGTCCTTGAGAATCAGGATTTCTGTTGTATTTTTGTGCCATACAGATGTTCCACCCCACTGGCGGCTCCTTGTTGTGAGGCCTCTCGGGCATCAAGGGAACCATTCCCATTTTGATGGTGGCCATCGGCTTCTTGGGTTGGAGTTGAATCGGGAAAGAGCTTCCGAGCTTCAAACAGCTTCTTTTGCGATTCCGCGCCCAACAAATCATCACAGATCAAATAGAGTCAGCCGTGGTCCAAGTGGAGTGAAGCAGACACCATGTAGAACATGTGCGCCAGCGACCCGCGACAAGTGACGTCAAGATCATAAAAGGCATGGTTTTCTTGGTTGAACGAGGCACCCACGAGTCACACGAGCAAAAGCGATGATTTGATGTTGCATAGCCCAGGTTCCCGAATCAGCGATCGCTGCCCCCTCCACTTAGAAGATACCTGGCTGGAGAGCTGGGTCAGTATTGGCAGCTTGGTCCCCGCTCCGGTGCCAAATCTAAAAGAAAAAACCGAAGGGACGGCTCACCCATGATCACACATCTCAGTCACGGAAAAGCCTACGCGTACTCCTTCAAATTGCCATTCTCCTAGCCCTAGTTGTAGCAACGTTTGCCATATTGCGTTTTAGTGTTTTTTCCTGGCCATGTCATGGTGCTTTTCATGCGACCTGCTGATGTGACGTGACCTGCTGAACGCAAGGTATGTTATCAGCTTTACTGCTCCTGGAAATTCTGGCAGATTGTATCCCAGCACTAGCCTCGTGCTCCGACAGCCTCATGCTGCTGATTAAGCCTCTTTTGAGCGTCGCGCTGGCGCTCTCGCCCAGTTATGGGATCCTGGGTGTGAAATTTGGAGTCTACAGCCTACCCCAGCTTAGGCTTGTATTGGTTGGGTTTGTCCTGTTACCTGTAACAGTTTTGAACAAGGCCTTCACTGATCATCAGCATCCACTGTTACTGGCAATAGGATAAGCCCAATGTATTAGAAGCTGCCTGTTGGCAGGAAAAAATGTCCAATCCTACAAGCTGTGCCTGTCAGACGTAGCAGAAACTGAGGAACCTTTATGGAATCAGTTCTTTCGTTGGCTGGCTAGCGGCCTTCTCATCAGCCCTATTGGCCATCCTGGTGGCCTTCATGAAGGCCACAGTCGCTGATGTGGATTTGCGTTTGTGTCGCTGAATCGCGGTTCGCAAGATTTGGGATAGACATGGATAGACTGAAATTCCGTGGCTTGCTGCGCTTGAGCTGTGCAAAGTTCACGCACTCAGTGAGATCAGCTAAGGCTGCCTGGACCTTGGCCTGCGACGCTGGCTCTGCGGGTCTTTGCAGACACTTGTCGAAGCTCCATCAGGGTAGAGGTGAGAATGTTCGGGATGCACCCTGAGACGGACGGGAGTATACACGTTGTGCTGAGCCAAGGCCAAGTGAGGAGTGCCACGGAGAGCTTAGTTACAGGCTTGGGAGCACAAAAGTCTAATTGGCCATGTTCTGATGCCAATTCCGAAGAGGAGATATTATGGTCAGTATATATAGAGAAATATAGAGACAGGAGAGAAGATGCCAGGCTACTAGTAGGACCCCTCAAGCACCCTCAAATGCCCTCAAGTTGCATTGTTGAGCTCATGTTTGTTCATTGGGGGGCTCTCCCAAAATTTTATATAAAGCATCATCGAAAAAGATATATAGAGAGAGAGAGAGAGAAAGATTTTTAGCCCAGCACTGTAAGATGGCACGACTTTGCTTGCAGCAGGTTTGCTGGCCTTCGTGGTCTTTCTGGTGGGGCTAGTGGCCGCAGCCGTTGTCTTGGTCGTCGTGATCTTGGCAGTGTCACAGTTCCTAGCACCCTAGATTATTCATCACAATCTTCAATGGTCTCGTATCAAGAAGGAAAAGTTAGGAAAACCCAGGGTGGTTTTGCTCAAACTGGTTTGTTGAAAGGGACATTGGGGGACCAATTGAATTGCACCTACCAGATCATACAATTACCGTTTGAGCATCACTTGCGCCCGTTATGCCATCAGATCATCAACCACATAAAAAGGTTTGTCGGTGCATTCGATGGAACTCTCCCGGCGCCGAACAGACATCCACGATTTGTGCATGGTTGCTTGATGTTGTTTGCTATGTGATGCCATCGGGATCTACATTTGGACGCACATCTCTCTCTCTCTCTCTCTAGAAAAGGGGGGCGTGATGCTTTTATCCATGGAGTTTGGGAGCCGTTTGGTATGTTAGAAACTGCCGTAGACATTTTGGGGATTTTTGGGTGTTTGACTCATGCTCTTTATTTGTGGCCTGCCCAGAGAAAATCAGAAACAATCGACCCGGAGTGAGAACGCATGAACCCAGGCACGCCGCTGGCTGAAATCCCAAGAAAACCTGACGTCAGACTCAAGTGAAAGTGATGGCAGTGATTCCAACGCGTGAAAGACACAGCGTGGACGAAGACCGTCCATGTGTTGGACAGTACACACAGAGGACACATCAAAAGTCTTCGATGCGGAGTGAAAGATCGAAGATGGACATCAGTGCGATTCTTAACTAAACAAGTGCCACGCTAGTAGTAACAGGTGCCACGCTAGTAGTAACAAGAAGCTACTAGTAACAAGTGCCACGCTAGTAGTAACAAGAAGCTACTAGTAACAAGTGCCTTACTAGTAGTAACAAGAAGCTATTAATTTAATTTAATCGTGATCATCCAGCAGCTCGGCTGAGGAGTCCAGTAAACAAGCCCTCCAGCAGGCCAGCCTTCGCTGTTACAATTGTCATGATCCGAAGGGGTCCGTTTTTTGCCAACGAACACTGCACCGATCCTTTGGATGATGTGACGAGTACCTTGTTGGATGACTGTGACAACCCCTCCTCACCCATATGGCATCAGTCCTGCATTATTGGATCAGCCCCACTCTTGAATTCCGAACCTGTCCAAAACTTCCCGCGCTAGACCTTTGCAGAGGCGCTTGGGCTCATTACAAGCTGTGCTCGCGCATGGATAGAGGCAACTGCCAAAGATGCCACCACAGAGGCCCCGCAGACAGAAACTGAACGAACATGAGCCGGGGTGGCACGATGTCCATTTGCATAGCTGCATTTAGCTGCATAGCTGGCATGGCCCAGAAGTAACCATAGTGAAGAACTGCATTGGTGACCCCTCAAAGGATTCCATTGGCCTTGAGCTTTCCTCGCAAGGTCACTGGGAAGGTTGTGCGCCGTGCCTGGTAGCGACCCAAACGTTTGCCGACTGGTCGATCGAACCGAAGAGTCTTTCGAGTAGAAAAAACATGGAAAACAAATGAACACCTTGGTCCAGTTTTGGTGATGCTGGCTTTTGCTTGAATCGATGCAATTTCTTCAGACTATTTTTTTGAATAAGAATCAGCTCGAGTGGGCAGAGTTCACCATATTCAGGTGTATGTGTGTGTGTGACAAGACTGGTGCCAATGAATTTGCACGAGTTTTGCGCATTTGTAGCTTGGGCGCCTTCGCACACCCAAGACTGCCAACACATAGCAACCAATGCGCTAAGGTTGCACATGTTGCACCGATCCATCGACGAGCGGGAGGACCTTATGAGCAGGGTTTGCCCACTGGGCCGTGACAGCGGCCCCTACCAGCACCGTGTTCACCCACCTTCCGTGGGGGCTGTTTGGACTTGTTGGAGTAAGTGCCTGAGTGTTGAGGAGTTAGTCACATCCAAAACAAGGAGGGAGAGAGGGAGGGATGGAGGGAGAGGGAGACAGGAAGTTTTCGAGCCCGGTCCGGAATCAAGCGGATGGACCTTTGAGATACCGTCCAGGACGTACAGCAAGCTGGAGGGCACTGGCAAGATTGGCAGGACACTTATTTGAGGCACGGTTGAATGCCCACCCGATGAATTTGACCAGGTTGGTGGCACTTCGGCAGGCCAGTGCAAGTCTGGAAGCGAGACATCAGTGTGAAGATGATGGGATGCACCTGGAAAATAATGCTTCGATCTTCACCTCTCTCTCTCTCTCTCGCGCTCGCTTTGAGGTCTAATCGTGGAGGGAGGGACAGCCATTCTCATCCTTGCAGGTTTGTTGGCAGGATTTTGTTGCTCAAGTTCTTGTTCTGAGGTATGTCTCAATAGGGCCCAAACTTAGTCTATGCCCAAGGGCCCAATCGAGGCCGAGGCAGATGGACAGATTGGCGATGCGGTAGAGGAGGGCATTGGCCGCCAGAAACCCAGTAGGTTTGCGTTGCTGGAGCAGTTGGGGCCGCGGATGAAGTGCCAAGTGAAGTGTATGCCTTTGTGGCGACACTTTTTGCCTGCGGTGTTGGTATATTCCATTTGGTGCTATGTGATGACGAAGCTAGATGCTTGGTCAGAGGCAGGCATTTGCAAATGTGCCAAGCCATGGCTATAAAAGAAGTGTTAAGTTAGGTTGTTTAGTGGACAAGCTTCCCCCATCAGTTTGATCAAACTTTTCTCTGCAAGACTAGTAATACCTGCCTTTCAAAAACCTTCTGGCCCAGATTTTCAGGTTCCAAAAAGACGATAGAACACATGAGAAAACAACACAATTGCTTTGGCCCATTTGCCTCCTGCATGTGTTGTTCCTTCGCTCGCCCCTATAACTATATAATTGCACCAAGAAAGGTTCGTCCGGGGAGCCATTCAAATTTTCGGGGGATTGGTTTCCAGATGGGAAAACACGAGGATTGACATTGCAGACGCGTTGAGTCTGCGGAGGTGTTCTGCACTTCTCGGACCCATTTGTTGAAAGGTCTCCAGTTACTACGTGCTGAGCCTGGCCATGGTCTTTGGTAGTTTGATCGCTGGCTCCACTCCTGTCGGTGGAGGTGTGGTGGCCTTCCCCCTGGTGGTGCTCTACCTGAAGCTGCCGGCGGATCAAGGGCGAGATTTGTCCCTGCTGGTCCAAGCAATTGGCATGTCTGCGGCCAGTTTTCTCCTTATTTACGCCAAGAGGCATCTATGCCACTTTTGGATCATACTTTGGTTTCTCATCAGCTCTCTTGCAGCCCAGTTTGGTCAATTCATACTTTTGATTTTTGGGGGACATGTGGTGGACCAGACGAATAACATAAGACACCGAGACGGTCTCGCCCCGCCCAGCTCCAGCTCCGCCAGGCAGGTCTTATGATCGGCTTCGAGCTCAACATCAGCAGTCGCACCGCCTCTTTGCTGTTCACCACCACGGTGAGTTGTTTCGCCATCGCTTATTTCTACTATCTTTGGCGTCAGGGCGCCCTCACTGAGACTAGGGAAGCCATCGAGCCCTGGGAACTGAGGACTTATCACCCATCCCTGCCATGGCTTCTCACCACCTTGGCATGCCTTTTTGGAGTGCTTGGGGGAGCTTTGACCGCCAAGATCGGCTCCGGGGCTGATATTTTCACCTACATTTTTGGCATCGTGTGGAATGCCCTGGTGCCCAAAGAGGCACAGATCTCGGAGAATATGCTCACAGCCTCCTCAGTGGTCGTCATGGCGGGTTGCAGCGTCTTTGGCGTATTGCTACGGCTAATGACTGGAGAGATTGCTCAAGAGGTGAGGCTTTGCTGGGCCGCGTGTGTGCCAGTGGTGGTTTTGGGAGCCCCGTTGGGCTCCTTGCTTTTGACCCCACGACTGACTGAAATTTTGAGGCGGCTTTTCTATCTTTTTGTGCTGGTGCAGTTTGTCTCCATGAGCATCCTCCAGCTCAAAGATGACTGGATCGGCTGGAGTTTGGTCCTGGTGGCGCTGGTGGCAACAGCCCTGGCCAGCCACGTGGTCTTCCACTGCAAGTAAATCACTATATAATTTGATCAGAGGGCGTGCTGTTGATGCAAGCGAATCAGGGGTGCGGTGTTGACAAAAAGGAACGTTTGCATTGACCGGCAGCATACCGGGCAAGCCATTGACAGAAACGCCCTGAAACGCCTGAAGTGACGCTTGATGTCATGCCTTTCGCCAGGTGCAGCTAGCACGTCTTTGCCCGTGCTTGGATGGAGAAGCGCGGCTTAGGCCATTGCTTTGGGGTTTAGGCATCCCTTTTTCAAGGCCACGAGGCAGAGGGTGCTTGTGCTTGTGCTTGCTCGATACCAAGACCTATGGGGACCATTGGGGACCAGCAATGGGGACCTAGGAGTCAACTTAAGATGTAAATGTAACCATCACATCACAGTATATATCGGGATTCAGACCTTGGAGAAAGCCCTGTCGGCAGGCTTCTTCACTCTGTCTCCCTGGCAGCTCCTGCAATGCAGAAGGCTAGCTTTCCGCGCATACATTGCTCCACACTCCATGACTCTTTGTTGAGTTTTGGTTTGGCCTCGACCTGGTGCGGCAGGCCACAGCAAAAGATTCACCAGCGGAAGTCTTAGCAAGTAGCCAAGTGTTTAAATGGGGCCGACTCGACACTCAGCTATTTGTGGACACCCTGACGCTGGGGCTGACTCCTGTCCGCGTCAATGTGGATGGCCGACTGCCTAGGTCGTGCTCCCACTGGGCTTGCTCACGTTCTTTCAGGCGCACTCGAACCCAGCAGGTCGCCAGCCAGGTGTTTTGAAGCTGGGTGACCTAGCTACATCCTGTATTGAATGCATTTGGAAGGTCTTCACGGAAAAAGGTCCTTTGTGACTGGCAGACGCTCAACACTCCACCCACATCACCCACGTTTGAGCCCTTTGGCTCAAACATGTGGTCCAAGTTTGCTGCCCAGGCAGGGGATTTTCGGCGGTTTGGGTGGCCTGGGCAGATGCGACACTCGGGAGGGCATGCCACACATGTGACACTGAGTGATTGATGTTAGAAAAGGCTGTAAGAAAGAGATATGGGAGGATGGGAGGGCATAGGGTATATTCACATGCTTCTTACTAGCGCTCAGATTGCAAGCAGATTGCCCCTTTGTACACATCCTCCAGATGTTTGCTTTGCATAGGCGCTGCTGGCAGATGAGCAGCCTTCCAGGTGGAGACTGACGGGCTCAAGGCGATGGGCAGACCAACATTTGAGCTCCAAAATAGGGCACAGTTGGAGTGGGACACTGGGCGAGAGGGAAGCAGCCCCAAGCTGTTCAGAGCAAAGAGGCAAGGGTTCAACCAGGTCTTACAATGTAACTTAGTCTGAGAGCAATTCAATCACAAATAAGTCACAGGCCTATTTTGTTTCCAAGGTTCGAAATTCTATGTCCGTTCTAGGTTCCAAAAAATGATTTATAAAACATCACAAGAGATGACCGAACTTTGAGACTTTGGGTATTTAAACTAGACGATGAGTGGCCCGAAAGCATTTTTCATCACGTAGGAAGTCAGAGTGTGAGTTATTTGTTAAGTGTTCAGTGTGAAGTGTTAAGTCGAGTGAGTTGAGGCAGTGTGTGGGTCTCTGTGTGTGTGTGTATCTATGTCTGTGTGTGTGAGTCTCTGTCTCTGTGTGTGTGTGTCACCCCCTGTATCTAAGGGTTCCACCTTTGTAACTAAG